AATCAAGACGTAACAAAATTTTTTATACGTGATTCTACTTTGTCTATCCAATGGCTATCTCGGTTTTTTGAACATTTTTGATTTTTGGCCCAATTTTTTTTTCAAAAAATTGACTTTTTTGGTAAATAATTATAAAATTCAAAATTTTGTGTGTATCGAAAAAACCGGTATATATGTCAGAGAAGTGGTGTATGTGCAGTGTGCACCTACATACCAATTTTTAGAAGAATCCGTTCAAAAATGTGGAAGTTATTAAAAAATTTATGACGTTACGACAAACAATTTTTTTTTAAAATAAATTTTTTGAAAGTTCTAGACTTCGTACGGAAACAAAAGTAGCACCATTCGTTTCGCCGTGAAAAACTGCATCAGATAGACACCTTTTTAGGCCTTAACAACCAACTTCAAAATTTGACCTCACTTGACCTGACCTTAACCTGACCTCGACCTGAAATTCATCCAGATGTGGTCGTTATCACCTTTTGAGTGTGCCTATTGAATTCTATGAATAAAATGACCCATAAAACATGTGTCGCACATGCCCTTTTCTATATTTTGTTTTTGGTGACCTGACCTGACCTGACCTGAACTTGACCTCTAAATGATATTGTATGCAAGGAATATTGTCTTGGTAGCCTAAGAACACGTTTTGGGGATTTAGTCTCAGTCCATAACTCCATTCTTCGGCAACTACGGTGCAAGGCCGATACTGTAGAAACTTGCAATTTGTACCCTTGACCTGACCTTGACATTGACTTCAAACTTTAAATTAAGTACATGTTTTTAGTTGTTCGTGATGAGATCTTTCGATTGGCGTTTGACTTTTCCAAATCGGACCATTAGTTCGGGAGATACCACCAGGGGGAAATTTACCCTCCCCCCAGCCCCGCGCGTTCGGCTGGAGACCCCAGCCCCGCGCAGGTTAACCGCACTTGCCATTTTCCCATCCTAGAACGCACATGGGGGGGGGGGTGCCACCCCCCGCGCCATTTCGTTCCTGTTGGAGGTAGAGCTTCGCGGCAAAGACCAACATATTTTTTGGGAAGAGACGAATCCAATCGTACCCAATTTTACCTCATTAGGTCAATCATTGACCTTCCAGGTCATGTCAAACTAAAAATGTTGCTTTTGGGGGCCACCGTTGTAATATCACGTGCGGTGTCCATCATATACTGATGGCGCTGCCCTTTGTGGTGTCAGGCCAGATAAAACAGCTCTTTGTCACAATATCCGATTAGGTTTTCACCGGCTGTGGTCATTTCAGGTCAAGCTAGGTCAAGGTCAATGCTATGTGTTTATATGTCTGTGTGTGTCTGTGTGTATACTGATGTGTGCACCGATTGTTTTGTGTGTCCCAATTACATGAGATCATGATCGGAGAAGCTTTTATCAAAAACTCAGTCCAAAAACTTCACGAAAAGTAAATTTAGCAAGCCTAAAATGCAATGTTTTTAGATGACCTAGGTTGACCTTGACACTGACCCTGACATCTGCATATCGTCGAATACCATGTTTCATAATAGGGTGGAGGTAAGACTGGCAAAAACATACCGAAATCAAGGTGTCACAAGCTCACAACACCCATAGCTAACGCAAGATATTGAGTTTTGGTCATTTGGGTAATGACATGACCTGAAAAACAAGGTCATATCTCTGAAAACAAAAACCAGAGGAACCTAAAATTTTACGTGGACGCTGAGAAAGGATACAGGAGCAGCTATACGGAAAATCAGGCTTCTAGCTTTTACTCGCGCCCCACTGGGATCTGCGTATAATAACGCGCCCTTCTGAGCGGGGGAAGGGGGGATCTTCATAGCCCCCCTCTTAACTCCGAAACTACTGGGCCGATCGTCAAAATTCAAACAACGTCTGATAGCCCCAGAAAACTGTCGAGCGGAACCTAATTTTATTGACCTCAAGGTCACCGATGACGTCACAGGTCAGGTCAAAGTAAAAGTTATTAGCATTTTGGTTTGTTCACATTTTGGGCTCTAGCCGCCGTCTTACAAGTCAGATCAGACTCATTGTTGGTTTACACACTCGTGAACAGATGCTTTAGATACCCTGAGGGTACCAAACTTGTGCTTTGATTTTAACCCACGCCGGCACAGGCCATTTTGCGTCCTTCGACGGCACAAGGCACAAGTACGACGGCGCAAGGCACAAGTACGGCACAAGTACGACCCCTCCCCCTCGCGTTTGGCCCCTGATCGAGCTAGAGCTTCGCGGAAAAAACGAGCGTGTTGCCCGTCACGAGAGGAAGCCGATGATACCCAATTTTGAGGTCCTAGGTCATCGGGTGACCTTCCAGGCCAGGTCAATGACCCGAAAACCGGGAAAATCGGGACCTGTTAGAAAGTCGTAAAGTGTTTGTTTGTTTTGTTGGGTTAGGCCCTTTCGGTCGACAAGACCATTGCAGAGCCGGAAGGATGATAGGAATTAGGGGGAGACATTGGTCTGGGCAGGCACCCTAGTGAGTCGCCGGGGCTGAGCCCGTCCAGAGGACAGGCCACCCAGCCCCAAGGCACTCACCGCACCCGGCTACGGGGTGCGCTCCCTCAGGAGCAGCGGTGCCGCTCCAAGGGAGCAGCCCGCATGAGATAAAGTTGCCTGTCCAGCCCAGCAGTGTTAGTTTTGATCAGAGATGATGTCTTTTAGCATTTAGATCAGGTCGGGTCAGGTCAGGTCAGGTCAACCGGTAGGGATTGTGACGGGTATTCGTTATACGTGTCAACCGCCTCTGACAGCATTGTAACATGTTACGAAGGCACCAAAACTACATCGTAAATGTTCAAATGGTTGCTAAATTCGAATTCAGCTAAAAAACTAGCCTAAAAACATGTAAAACTCGAAAAAGTGAACCAAGGTCACCCTAGGTCACCAAAGGTCAATGCCCTGACCTGACCTTCAGGTGACCTTGACACCTACCCTAATTTATGGGAGCAACATCAAATCACATGTTTGAACGTTTGAAACCACGAAAATCTTGCAAACGCGCGGCTAATGCGAGCCGACATACGCCGATTCGCGATTCCGGCCAAACATGGTCTCGGAAAAGAGGTCACAGGTCAAAGGTCGTTAGAGTCAGGGTCATGAAATTTTCAGGGTAGGTGTAAAATTGATCAATGCGAGGGTACTGAATGTTTCGGCGCGATCGGCCGCTTTTTACGCGAGTTATTCGCGAAAACCCTTAGGGGGCAGGTTGCATCAACCTGTGCCGGCGAGGGTTAAGCTAGATCCAATTTCTTTGCATGAGAGGACTCAAATTAGACTGCGCTATGAAACTGCTATCTCGGATTTTCAAATTTTTGAAAATTTCGAAAATTATATATAATCAAATTTAAAATTTATATTTTATTTTTTGCTCTTTCGAAAAACCGGAATACATGTTATAGAACACATGCTTATAGCTTACTCTAGCAAGGTTTAGCTAAATATATTCAAAAATGGCCAAGTTATACGCAATATTGCAAAAAAAAAATCACAATTATATTTTTTTAATCATTTTTTTTTTCAGTACGTATTTGACATCGTACACCAATATAAATACCACCATCGTGTTCCTGAGCTCAAACTGCATCTAATTGACACCTTTTTTTGTTGAAAATTTTTAACTTCAAAATTTGACCTCTTTTGACCTGAAAGTGACCTGACCTAAGCTAAATTCAATTCAAAACGACCTCAAATGACACAAATGACATAAAATTCAAAATCTATGGTCTAAATGGGTCATAAAACATGTGTCACGTGACCGACGCATGATATAATATTTCCGTGACCTGTGATGATCCGACCCTGACCTGAAAATCAAAGTACAAGTTTGGTATCCTCAGGGTATCTAAAACATCTGTTAACGAGTGTGTAAACCAAAAATGAGCCTGATCTGACCTGTAAGACGGCGGCCAGAGCCCAAAATGTGAACAAGCCAAAATACTAATTATTTTTACTTTGACCTGACCTGTGACGTCATGGGTGACCTCGAGGTTAATGAAATTAGGTTTCGCTCGACAGTTTTTCCGGGGCTATCGGATGCCGTTTGAATTTTGACAATCGGCCCAGTAGTGTCGGAGTTAGGAGGGGGGGGGGCTATGAAGAGCCCGCCCCCCCCCCCCGTAGGGCGCGTTATTCGCAGACCCCAGTGGGGCGCGGGTTCAAAGAGTGGAAGCGCTGGCTCCATGCGGCACGGACAAGGGCGCCTTAGCGTCCGCCGTCTCGTGTTCGAAATGCACTGAAGTCTACCACGTAAACTTCATGGGTAAGTGTCCTGGGCGTCCAACTGAGTCCCAAATGGGCTGATTGGGCTCATTTAGCCCATCTGGAACCCAGTTGGACGCCCATGACATACCCAGATGTAGCCTAGCCCACATTCGCCCTGATTCCCCACTTCTAGCCCATCATGTGGGCCCCATTTGGGATGGCTGGCTGGGCAGAGCGTAAAAAATTATGAAGAAAATATTCAGCCATTGTTTGGTTCCGGTCAAAGGTCAGGTCACCAGTGGTCATCAAAAGTCAAATGTGGCCTTTTTCAGCATTCATTACAAAGCGGCGCATATCCCGGAAACAAATAAAGCTACAACACTGCAAACAACGCAATCGTGAGCCATTTTAACGTTTTTTTTTTTCTCTCAAATAAGCTATCAAATTTGACCTAATATCAACGGTTTAGCCTCCAGATGGCAAACCCGTTAAAATAACCGTCTTTAACAAAAAAAAGAACTAAAAAAAATAATTTTTGACTCAAGAAAGGCACGATATTGCTTTTGCGATCATCATGCTCCTCTCGTCGACGCGACGGCCGAAATAAACTTGAAATAAAAGTGATGACAGGTGCTGAAGCGGCGAATTCACACAGAGCAGCAGTTCGGGGTGTCGTGTCGCGGCACTCCCGACACTCGGGTGTGACATGACGCGCCTGGCGGCTGATTGGTCGGCGCCGGGCCTCGGGGCCGCTGATTGGCCAGCCGCCGGGGTGTGTCGCCGCGCGCTCCCATAAAGATGACGCTGCCGGTGCGGCCGCCAGTACGGGCCGACTGCCGCCGGCGATAACACACAGTCGACAGTGAGACGGACGCCGGCAGGGCCAGTGCCATTGGAACGTGTGAGGCGCGCTACTGGCAGTGAGCGGGTGAGGCAAACAGAACGGGCGCGCGGCGCCCGTGCACGCGGGCCTCCTGAGCCACTGCCGAACCGCGGACGGCAACACGCGCGCACAGCACAGAGCATACCCCCCCACACGGCACAGGGCGCACCCCCCCCCCCACACACACACCGCACAAAGCACACCTCCCCACCGCATAGACCACCCCCCCCCCCTAACCGCACAGAGCTACCCCCCCCCCCCCCGCACACAGTCACACTGCGCATGGCGCACGTCATCATATGCAACGCCGTTCATTTCCTAATAGGTTTGACACTCACGTTTTGTGAAGCTAAGAGCAAGTAGCCGGGCTGTTGCTGTCTTTTCGCGGCGCTCCGGCGGCAATCTGACCCGTGCTAGAGGCTCTGACCCGGGTCACTTTGACACAAATCTAGTAGGTGTGCCTGCCCCCCCCCCCCCCAGCCCCCCCGCGCCGCCGCCGCCGCCGCCGCCGCTGCCGACCCAGGTCCAGCCAGTCGCCATCGTAACGAGTCGGTACGGGAGAAACCAAAACGGCTTTAGGGCAGTGTTCGCCACGGGCCGCAAAACCCTAGTCCAGCCCAGCCCAGGCCCATGGGTTCACAGCCCGGCCCAGCCCGAACCCATTCATGGTAAAAGCGTCAAAGCCCAGCCAGGCCCAGCCCGTCAAAAATGAATTGGTTAAAAATTATTGACACCGCACAGGTACCCAAAGGTAGCAAAGAGACAATATTTTGCTAGCCGCATGCACAGTGCACATTGCATGCGTGCTTTATTGACTCGTTTTTTAGTCTTGCGCAGTAATAAGCTATGTAGTTATAGTTTTTGTCTCAGTTGCGAGCCCCTGACTCCACTTAACTGTTCCTGGCCCAGCCCATCCACAGCCCATCGATCCTTCATATTTGAGGGCCCAGCCCAGCCCGTAGCCCAGCCCAGCCCATGGCCCATTGGGCTGGCCCGGCCCATGGCGAACACTGCTTTAGGGAGGTTTTGGTAGGCAATATCTGTTAGCATTTCAAGTTCAGGGTACCTTAACCCACGAGCCGCTGGGGGGGGGGGGGGGGGCATAAAGTTGCCCCCCTTTACGTTTTGTGGAATATCTCCGAAACCTGATGAGCTACGAACGTGAAACTTGGCATAGCTTCAAATGAATACCTAGGCAATGTTTGAAGAAAGTTTGGTGGTTGTAGCATCTAAGATGACGTCACAGTGACGTCATAAAGTTTTGTCGTTTTCCGATATGGACCGTTTCTGATGACGCTGAGCATGAAACTCAACTGTAAATGAACTAGACAGCACCTGCTGTCATCCTAAAACATCTAAGTACACTTCCATCTAGTTGCTAACCAATAATTGGCCCTTTATATTCGGTCCCATATACCTGATGTATCGTGAGGAAACTGAGAGTCGCAAATCTATAATTTGACTTATGACGTCACTGTGACGTCATTTCAAATGGGATCGACACCAATTTGGACACAACCTCGGCTAGGTATTCAGGAAGATGTGTGCAAAGTTTCGCTTCTCTATCTCTTCGCGTTGCGACGATATCGCCGCGGAAGTAAAGGGGGGGCAACTATATGCCCCCCCCCCCCCAGCGGCCGGCGGGTGGCGCGGAGGCCCAGCGGCCGCCGGGTTAAAGGAAATAGTTCACTTTTTAACATGGGTTTTGAACTGGAATAGCAGTTCCGTAGCTTAGGCTGAGACGAGCATAAATCAGGAGCTTTTACAGCCCAACGATCACCCTAGGCAAAGATATTCTATTTCTCGTCCCGAAAAAGGTGTCTTGCGTTGAGGATGTGTGCCTTGCATATATTTCCATCCAGTATGAAAAGAGCATGGGTCCCGAAAATTCTTCAGAAACTAGAGAAATTATCTACGAGAACTCTAGAGAAATTCTCGTACTGATCAATTAGGACATTCAGGGGAACATTATCAGATCGAGCAGATCGCCCAAATGCCGGTGGCTGCGATAATTTCTCTGTTTCTGAAGAATTTTCGGGACCCATGCTCTTTTCATACTGGATCGCGTGTGCCTTACAGAAACTGAAAAGTTCTTCCTATATCAAAATATAGAAAAAAAATCTTTTGTTATAAAAAGGTTTTATTTTCTTTGCTGATTATTTTGAACATAAAAAATCATAAATCGTTGCAAAAAAAAATAATTTCGTGAAAGTGAACTATTTCCTTTAACCCGCGCACCGACGGGGGGCGGATATCCGCCCCCCTGAGGTTTTTCGCGAATAGCGGGAAAACCGCGGCGCGTAGCGCCGCGAAATTTGGTATGACTATTCCCTCATCAATTTTACACATGGTGTGCAAGTTTGAACCTCCTACCTTTTAAGGTCAGGTCACCAGGTCACTTTGAATGACCCAACCTCAAGTCACTTTTTTGCAACTTTGTCACCGTGCCAGAGCTACAGTAGATGTCGGAGGCCTTTGAAAGTCGCAGGATATTATTAGGTCATTAGTAGCTACAATTTGTATATCTCGGAATTTTGATATCGGTGACCTAAGGTCAGGTCAATTTCGCGACCTCCCCATTATAAGTCAATGGGTGAAAAATCAACTCCCTGTTTTTACCACTAAAACGGGTCGGAATGGCCCCATATACCATACATGACTTCATATACGATCAAACTTCACTACCTTGAGGTCTGTTTTGCTGTTGGGCAGCTGTGAGGTCATGTGACGTCATCAAAGGTCACCAAAGGTTTTTGGCCAATAACTCCGTACAGGAACAAGATACAGACGCGTGGATGGTCTCATTGTGTTCAGCTCGTCAAGACGTATCGAATGATATACATGATGACCTCGAGGTCACGTGACCTGAGGTCAACCTTTGACCTTGACCTTTCGAGGTCAACATATATATCATTCGATGCGGATTGACGAGAGGATCACGATTATGCCCTTAGTTTGTTCCTATCTTGACTAATTCGAAAGTTATTCGAGAAAAACTCTCCATATCTAGCGCCGCCATTTTGACTTTTTCGACCCCTGTGACGTCATCTTTGACCTGACCTGAAAATGACCTTATTAAAAAATGTAGATCTTGACCGTGCGTATCCGATGCCATTTACCGCTTGTCGCTATCTTGCTTCGTTCTCGAGATCTCAGGGGGGGGGGGGCGGTCATCCGCCCTCCCGTCGGTGCGAAGTTGGCGCAGACCCCCGTCGGTGCGCGGGTTAACGTGGGTCGTACCAACCCCCCCCCGCCCCCTCCTTGTGCCGTCGAAGGACGCAAAATGGCCTGTGCCGGCGAGGGTTAAGCCTATGGGAATATATTCAAATAACTCCAAGTCGGAAAATACTAGAGATATCAAATTCGTTCTATCCCTTTTTTGCTTTGATACCACAGTACTTAACAGTATGTCACTCGGTTTTTTCTTTGTTTGGTGTACTTATCCAAGGGTCAGGTCAAAGGAGGTCAATTGAGGTCAAATGACGTTTGTGCCAATAACTTATCACATAATAAAGATAAAACTTAAAAGTGGTATCATTCTGTTCCTCTTGAACAGCCGAGTCGAATGCTATGCAACATTCAGCATTTGAACCATTCTCAGGACTTAAGTTTTACTTAAGATATGCTTAAGTTCTTAAGTACACCCCTAGAACGCCTAGGGGGGGGGGTTGTATCAACCCCCCCCCTGAGGTTTTTTCGAAGTGCACGCTAAACGGCTTGTCGTAGCGGGCTGAAATTTTCAATACCCTCTGGGGCAACCTTTGCGCATCTTTTGCCGAAAAAAATTGATCGGGTCATGTCAGGTCACGGAGTTATGACGTCATAAGAGGTACAGCCTCCGGCCGGATTTTCACAAACTGAGTGCCGACGCCCGAGGTTTCCTGCCGGTGGTACGGACATCGGTTGATGGATCGTGATGAAACTTCCCATGCATGTTGGGGCAAGTATTGGCTATCATATGGTATAAGAAATTTGACCAGGTCAGGTCAGGTCACGGAGCTATGACGTCACAAGAGGAACAGCGTCCGGTACTATTTTTGAAAAGCGCCCGAACCATTATTTTGCTAATTCTTGTCACCTCAATGGGAATATGCAGCAATATTTGCTTGTATAGGGAGCAAATGGACCTCCCAAATCCAAAAATACAATCAGATTTCAAAAATTTAAATTTTGATTTTTCGAATTTCTGCCGCCGACTGTGACCTTGCCGACTTCCGGCGCTCCCAACGCGCCATTTTTAGAGCTAGGGAAACGAAATACATACCAAACGATAGAGAATTGATCAAGGAACACGATAGTAAAGGTTTCAAGTCGATATCTCTCACCGTTTTGCCGCAATCGCCGCCGAAAGTTGAAAAAGTCTATTTTTCCGAAAATTTGACCTTTGACCGGTCAAAAGTAGGTCAAATGTTGACCTAGGACCAAAAAATATACCACCAATCGCGAGATCTCGTTGAGAGCAATCCGTTGGTTTTTTCCGCTAAGCTCTACGACCTTCCGTTTCGAAACGCCAGGGGGGGTCGTAACAACCCCCCCCCTGGTCGTTCGTGTTATGAGAAATGGCCTGGTCGTGCGAGGGTTAAGCAAACAAAAAGTTATAACATTCGACGCGCCTACACGTGCTGTGCTCACTGGTGCTTTTGTTTTGCTTTATTAGATCAAAAGGTATCAGCGAAAAACTTTTGACCTGTTTTAGCAAATTTTTACATTTACCCTCGCCCTGGCAGGGGGGGGGGGGTCGATGCGACCCCCTAACCCTAAGGTTTTCGAAAATAGCGTAAAAACGGCGGCGCGCAGCGCCGCCAAATTTAGTACAGCCTATGGGGCAGCCTTTTTACATATAACCTGTAAATTTCAGGTCCGGGCGACCTTGGGTCAGGTCACCAGGTCAGAAAAACCGGTACAAGGTCATGGTCAAATTTTAATTTTCTTTTTGCACCTGTCCAACTCACAGTTTTGGACTGATTTCCCTCAAACTTTCAGGATGTACTAAGTTCACCGAGTTGTATAACCAATAGTTCGGGTTTTTTATGTCACTGACCTGAGGTCAGTTAGAGGTCATTACGTCGTAATGTTAAGCCTATGGGAAAATACTAAAGTCATGAAATACTGGAGACATCCGCTTCGTTCTATCACTTTTGTGCTTTGAAACCACAGCACTTAACAGCAGGTCACTTGGTGCTTCTTTGTTTGGTGTACTTATCCATGGGTCATGTCAAATGAGGTCAACTGAGGTCAAATGAGTCAATGACGTTTTTGCCAATAACTTGGCATATAATGACGCTAGAGCCTAAAACATGGTATCATTGTGTTCCTGGTGATCAGCCGAATCGAATGATATGCGATATTATGCAATTTGGTTAACTTGAACTTAATTTATTAATTTAAATTTACTTAAAATTTAAGAAAAACTTTAAGTACACTTAAGCAGGCTAAAAAGTATACTATTCGACGCGCCTTGACGTGCTGAGTTAACTGGTGCTTTTTTTGCTCTATCTTAATTAGATCAAAAGTTATAAGCGAAAAACTTTTGACCTGTTTTTAGCGAAATTTTTACATTTATACCCCCAAAACCGCCTAAATATTGACCTAGAGCAACCAAATTTGCACAGGGGTGAGAGCTCCAGGGGGGCCACCTACCTACCAAATTTGGTATTTCTAGGTGCCACAGGAGCCATTCGCGACGCATCGAATGAACTATACCTAACTTGATCTTGAAATGTTAACTTGAAAATTTGACCTCAGGTCAAGGTCATGACCTGACCGGAAAGAGTTATGTTGCATATCAGTCGATCCGTATCGTCGAGCTGAACACAGCTAAGGCTTTTCATCGCTTTAGCATGCCTCTATCAAAAGTTATTTGCGAAAAACTGTTAGATACCATTCGTGACCTGAGATGACCTCAGGGGCATAAACAGGAGTCACGGACGGTGTTACCCAATGGGCGGTGTTACCCCGAAAAAAAAAAATGTAGACGGTTACTAAATGTGGAATGATGCAATTATGAACGAGATTACAATAATACCTACAATTGGGTGATATGTAGGTATGTAAAATTAATGCAACAATCATATGAAACTGAGAGATTTAACATGTGGCCAAAAATTACGTGACTAGACCCTAAACGGTTAAGGGCGTCGGTGTTCCCCAGTCTTCCCCTACACAAAGAGGGTCTCCTGCCAATGAGGCCCCCTGACTCATGCCAAGATAGAGCCTCTGTGCAGAGGGACACTCTCATTCAGAAGGGGCCTCCAGTCCTGTCTATTAACCCGCGCCCCAGTGGCGGTCTCGGCCAACTTCGCCCTAGTGAGGGGGGGCATATGTTACCACCCACCTCTAACTCCAAAACTAAGAGGGCTAGAAAGACGCGGTAAAAAGCAGTCGATAGCTCTCAATACGTACGTTTGAAAGTATTTCGGTCATTTTTCACCTTAGAGCAATATTGGGGTCACCAGAGGTCATCAAAGGTCAAAATTTGCCAATTGTCATTATATTTTTCAGAAAACATGCTGCTATCTCAGGAACTATGGTAGCTAGAAAAACGCATGGAAAAGCAATCGATAGCTTTTGAACTCTTCTTTTGAAAACGTGATTATCAATATTGTCCTCAGGTCAACGGTTTAGCCTCCAGAGGGCAAAAACTCCAAAAATAGCTGTTTTTACGAAAAGTGTTTTTCGACAATAACTTTCGACTACAAAAAGCCACGACATTTCTATTGTCAGAATCGTGTTCCCCTCACCGAGACGCGTCGAATGAACTATAATTTGACCTTGAAAGGTCAACTTAAAAATTTGACCTCAGGTCAAGGTCATGACCTGACCGGAAAAGGTCATGCTGCATATCAGTCGATGCGTCTCAACAAGACAAACACAATGAGACCATCCCCAGCGTTCTATCTCTTTCCAATCGCGAGTTATTGGCAAAAAAAACTGTTTGTAGCCTCAAATGACCTCGGATGACCTTTCTAGAGGCTATCAGCAAAAATGACACCTTGGTCATCACGAGTGGACTAAATCATTGTGATTCTGAAATATTTGGACTGTTCCTATGCGTACACACGGATCTAGAGGCATTTTCATTTTTCTCTATTGACTTGTAATGGAAAGGTCATGCCACTGACCTGACCTTAGGTCACGGATATAAAAAATCCGAGATATACAAATTGTAGGCTCCCATAACAGCATGCAATCCACCAAGTTTAAAACCTTTCTGACAAACACTGCAGGCTGGACATGATTGCAAACTTTTTTTAAGGCTTGGTCAGTTAACTTGACCTGGTGACCTGACCTGACATGACCTGGGGTCAAAAATTTCACACATTGTCCAAAATTGATGTACCAAAAGCTACCCCAAGCGGCGCGGCGCTACGCGCCGCGGTTTTTTATTCACACGCGAAAAACGCGACAGGGTGGTAACATATGCCCCCCCCCCCACTGGGGCGAAGGTTAACGATCTCCTGCCGGAGGAGGCCTCCTGACTCCCTCGTGTGCAGAGGTAGCCTCCCACTTAGAGAGTGCCTCTTTTCCAGAGAAGGTCTCCTGTCAAAGCGGGCTTCCTGTGGGCCCCGAGGCCCCCCTTGGGTGCACCGCTGAATGCTGCCACAACTTTTTTACCCTTGCCGGCTTACGGTAGCCAAGCCTTTCCTCATGTACGTTTCCAGATCACGACCACGTGTACAAGTGGGAGTGCAAGGCTGTTTTATTTGGGCATTCTTTCATTGGACAAATAACATTTTTTGGGGGGTTTCTGGTCGGATCATGTGATTGAGCTCTGTGGTCGCCAGCCAGGCCATGCTCCGCCAAAATCAGCGGCTCTGGGTGATTTATATCGGGTAATTGCATTACTGAACTAATTGTTTCTACTTTTGTACCTACTAGCAGTCAGCAAGGCTCCTTTTTATGGTTTCATTTCATCCAACTGTTGGTGACCGTCCAGGAACTGATCAGAGGCGGCGCGGGGGGGGGCGTTTGACCCCTACCGCACCAGATTCCTCCCTCCCCGGAAATCCGTGGGAGCCACAGAGAGGCGCTGCCTAAATCGACCTGCTAGACTTACCTTGAATTATCCGGGCCAAAAGTTCTACAGCAATAAATACAATGCCCAGTGCCTTCATAATTACAGATGCTTTGTACCTTTTCAGTCCATTGCCACCAAGCACTGTCAACATATTTCTTTAACACGCAAGTTCCTACACACGCAAAAAAGAAAACTAAAAAATAAAACAAGGACGTGGTTTTATCGATACCCCACAATGGCCAGTGCTAGAAAGCACCGTGCTTTATGCCGTTGCCAGCTATACGACTCGTGTGACCATTGGCTTCTGATCGCGGCCGTTACCGTGTTATACAGTAGGTCTACAAAATAAGTCCCCGTCGTATGCGGGTCACCTGTACAACACAACTAATCCGGTCACGACGCGATACGAGAGACAATGAAAACGGCGCGCACCGGCTGTCACCAGCCGGCCCACAGACGCGCCGGTCCAGTCACCAGTCACCAGTCACCAGTCACCAGTCACCAGTCACCAGTCACCACCAGTCACCGGCCGGCCCACAGCCGCGCCGGCCAGCAACGGCTCAGCGAGCTGAGAGTCAGCACAGAAAGTGACTTTTCCTGTGAACGCTAGTTGAACGCTGCTGGTTTGCTGATGTGTGGTCTGTGCCCGCTCTTGTCATTCTCAGACATATCAGTCATGGGGCAGGAAGAAAGCGAAATAAAAGGTAAAACACTGCATATAACATGCCAATTACAACAAAAAGTAAACGGTCTCAAGTGGCATCATTCAGTTCCCTTGAATGCATATTATAAGGCTGTTTTACATCAAAAGTAAGGTACTTAGATAAGTGACTTGAGTTTAATCATGTAAGTCACCGTGGAGTCACAGAGGTTGTAGGCCTCCATGCACGCTGGTGGCACGTGAACTATGTAAATGATTTAGTGTGGCAATGTCTCGGCCACTGGCGGATCAAAATGGGCCGTCAGGCCCTGCAGCCACGCAATTCACTGGGAAACAAAACATTGTTCAATGTCCATAAAACTTCCAGCGTTCGCTTCCTTATCAATTACCGTGTACTTTCGAACAGCATTGCTGATAAAACTTTTACTTTTTCTATCTATGCTACGAAATTACAAATCTTGTTGATTTTAATTTCTGAATTTCCAGTCAGTTTCGAACTCTGCCGGAGGGTCAGTGTCCAAACGTTCCTCCACGTTTGATCCGTCAGTGGTCTTGGCTCCACGTGCCGTGTGCTCGTGTCGGACCGCGCCGCGTGGGACCACGTGCGAGCATGTGACAGCTGGGCGCCTGGTCCGTGCCCACAGAGCCCTTGCTGAACGGACTCGGCATCATGCCCGGCATGAGCATCCAGTCGGACCAGCTGCGAGGGGAGGCCATGGAGGGCAGCGACACGTTCCTCTTCACCTCCGAGTCGGTCGGCGAGGGGCACCCAGGTGAGCCAGCCGGACGGCCCGCGCCGGCGCACGCGCAACACGCACACCAGAGCCGCGCGTCAGCCGTGTGTCAGTGCTGTGTCAGTGCTGTGTCAGTGCCCAGTGGTTTGTCAGTGCTGTGTCAGCGGTGTGTCAGTGCTGTGCCAGCGGTGTGTCAGTGGTGTGTCAGCGGTGTGTCAGTGCTGTGTCAGTGCTGTGTCAGTGCTGTGTCAGTGCCCAGTGGTTTGTCCGTGCTGTGTCAGTGGTGTGTCAGTGCTGTGTCAGTGCTGTGTCAGCGGTGTGTCAGTGCTGTGTCAGCGGTCTGGTGGCGGTCAGCGGTGTGTCAGTGCTGTGTCCGTGCTGTGTCCGTGCTGTGTCAGCCGTGTGTCAGTGCTGTATCAGTGCTGTATCAGTGCTGTATCCGTGTTTTGTCAGTGCTGTGTCAGTGCTGTGTCAGTGCTGTGTCAGTGCTGCGTCAGTGCTGTGTCACAGTGCCGTGTCAGTGGTGTGTCACAGTGCTGTGTCAGCGGTCTGGTGGCGGTCACTCACGCCGACACTGTCCAGGCGCGTGGCGCGCCGCCCGCTGTTTACTGGTGGGCGGCTCCTGCTGCGTTATACAATGTACAGTGTTTGTACCGGACTGCCGTACCCTGACCGGACCACCACCGCCGGGCCGGGACTGGGTGACGCCGCACAATCCAGTGCGCGCTGCCACACAGTCTCTCGGTGATGCTATTATACATGTTGTACCTGAAAACACAGCCATGTCGTCCCTCTGATCACGGCGTCCGTTTGTATCCACCGTCACTCAGCTGTCGTCCTCTGAGAGCGACCCTGCTTCCTAAACCCAGCGATGCCCTCCGCCCGGCCGTCTGGTTTGGTCCACCGACCCTGGTCCACCTCCCCTGGTCTGGCCCGGCGACCCTGGTCTGGCCCGGCGACCCTGGTCTGGTCCATGGAACCTGGTATAACTATTCCATTTTTGATTTTCTGATCTATTTACCCATGTCTGGCTCACCAACCGTTTCCGATATATGCATTGCCCGTAGCTATATCTGCCTACAGTGGTTATTATTTGCTTGGATTGGGGATCGGTTTTGACTGAAGCTTGGTAGATAGTATCTACATTCTACATATAGTTTGTCGCGTCATCCAGGCTCAGCATTGTGACATGCATATGTTCGTGGTGTCTATAGGATAACCGCCCGCTGCTGCTGACCGGCGTGGCTGATGGCCGTGTTTCTGTTTTTTTTTTCGGCAGACAAGATTTGCGACCAAGTAAGCGACGCCATCTTGGACGCCCACCTGCGGGAGGACCCGGACGCCAAGGTGGCCTGTGGTGAGGGCGGCGACTCGGCGGGACGGGCGACCACTGACGGCGACCACTGACGGCGACCGGTGACGGCGACCGGTGACGGCGACCGCTGACGGCGTCCGGTGGCGACCACTGATGGCGACCACTGACGGCGTCCGGTGGCGGTCACTGATGGCGACCACTGACAGTCACTAATGAGAAGTTCAATCTGGGTCCCCTTTACTTGCACAATAACCTCTAACGGATTGGAAAGCTGTTTATTGAAACATTGCTAGGAAATAACCTAATACATAGAGTCCATGTCTGATTGAGTCTGTCGAAGCAGGCTATTGGAACTATAAAAAGCATACAAAAAGTATATAGATAATGTTGTATTGTGTGAGTCAGTAATATAATATTATAAGCACCGAATGACCGCGCCTTTGTTGCTAGACATTTGAAACCCGCGACATTTAACCCTAGACATTTAAAAACCCGCGAGTTGCGGGGGGAGGGCGTTAAACGCCCCCACTTTTGTCGCCGCGCCATAGCATGAAAACGGCGCGCCGCAAGCGCGCCAATATTAGGGGACCTGTAGGGAATTGATTGAAGTTTATTGTGACAAAGATTAAAAAAATAGGTCGGAAAGTTTTGAGATATCGAGGTTTTAGTGCCGTCATGATTTCTGAGTTTTCAACCAAAAATGGCATATGTTTAAAATATCATATAAAATCACAGAATACATATAAAGACATGCCATAAACGCCATTAGACTGCGAATACCATGAACAATCAAATGGCTATCTTCGATTTTTGATTATCGTTCCGCATTTTTCAAAATCTCGAACTGAATCTTGGCAATTTCCTGTGACTTCTTCACGACCATGATGCATGCATTTCTTAAATTAAATTTTCTAACCAAACACGTACACATATGATGAAATGAATGTCACCATCGTGTTCCACGCCCAAAATTAATCATAAAACATGTGTCACAGGCTGCAAATATCAGTTTTGATTTTCGGGGATATTAGCCTACCTGGTTGACCTGACCTTGACACTGACCTATGCTTGACTGACCCCTACATGGATCTGACACTCTTGTAGGCCTTATATGATGGCTTGTGCACCGTTTTGACAGAGTTTATGACGAGAGACGCCCATTGCGAGGTTCTGAAGTCCATGCTACTGAAAGCCCGAATTTGACACCTTGTGTTAAAAGTTCAACTTTCAAGCTATCATAGTTTGGCCCGCGGAAATGACGTCAAGTGACGTCATGTCTGCCAATTTTGATGCAAAACCTTGAATTACGACAAACGCTCTCAAGAGCTCAGTTTCACAGCTAGATCCAATTTCTTCGCATGAGTGGACTACAAATACACGTATCTATCAAACTGCTAGCTCGAATTTTCAACTTTTGAAACTTTAAGAAATATGTATTCACAATTACAAAAAATGATTTTTTTTTGTTTGTTTTTTTACAAAAACCGGAATATTGTGACCAGTATAACGCCTTTTGGGGCGACTAACGGAGCGAGGGAGAGGGTGGGCCTTGCACGTGCGAAATCGCAAGGGGTACCTCCAACTGACTTGTGCACGGCACCCTACAAACCGGTCTATAGCGATGTGCCAAATTTGAGCACAATCGGCCCAGCCGTTCTCGAGATCTGGAAGCGGCACCCTGCACGTGCGCACGTGCAAAATGGGTCCCAACTGACTTGTGCACGGCACCCTACTAACTGGCCCCTAACCGTGTACCAAATTTGAGCGCCATCGGTCCAGCCGTTCTCGAGATCTGGAAACGAACCCTGCACGTGCGCACGTGCAGCAGCACCCCAACTCTGGCACATGGATATGCAGTGCCTAGTGGGTGCCTACCTACATGCCAACTTTCAGCGCAATCGGCCAAGTAATAACCGAGATATTGCAACAATTACAAAACTGACACCTCTTCGTTTTGCACGTGGCACGTGCATAAGGGGTCACCGACATGCATCGGGAATAGTCCAATACTTGGTAGAAGGAATGAAGCTACCCTACAAAAATTACCGCGTGTAAATCGGTCAAGTGGTTGCTGAGATATAAGCCTCGCAAAAGCGTCCCGGCCGGCCGCTCATACTCAGAAATTTCCGTTAATCTAAATTCTAAGGAAAGACTACGCTCGCCTCGCTCGCTCCGTAATAAAGCACACACTGATTAGCAAGTTTTAGTCCAATGTCTTAAAAAATAGCGAAGTTTTTCGCATTATTGTCAAAATTTTACAATCACAGATTTTTCAAAACAATTTTTCAGTACGTTTGTGACATTGTACAGCAATATGATGGCATCATCGTATTCCTGAGCTCAATCTGCATCTAAAAGTAACCTTTTTGTTGAAAAAATCATTTTTTAAATTTGACTTTTTCTTACCTGAAACTGACCTGACCTCCGGTAAATTCAGCTGAAAATGACCTCAAATGACACATACGACATTGTTCTCGAAATCTGCGAGTAAAATGGGCCATAAAACATGCGTCACGTGACCGATACATGATAAACGATTTTCGTGACCTAGGATAACCTGGCCTTGACCTGAAAAATTCGAAGTAAAAGTTCGGTACCCTCAGTGTATCTGAGGCATATATCAAGGAGTGCGCAAACCAAAAATGAGCCTGATCAGACTTGTCAGCCGGTGGTCAGAGCCTAATTTGTGAACAAGCAAAAATGTTGATAATTTCTATTTTGACCTGACCTGTGACGTCATCGGTGACCTCGAGGTAAATGAAAATAGGTTTTGTTCGACATTTTTTTTCAGGGCTATCAGACGCCGTTTGAACTTTGACGATCGGCCCAGTAGTTTCGGAGATAGAAGGAGGAGGCTCTGGAGAGCCCCCCCCCCCCCCAGTCACTCGAGTTATGGAAAATACCCCAGTCATACGCGGGTTAAGATCCCGATCAAGCTGTTTGAATGGATCGCTACGTCTACAGGGTCTTTCATAATGAATGTTACTTTTGAAAGAGCTATTTCTCAGGACATATATGTTCCTCATGTAATATGTACCATCACATGAAACAGAAACACATTAGCGTTTTTGCACACACAACTTTCATTTTAATACTCCTGAGGAATTTTCCACTGATCGCCCTTAATTAAGGCACACGTTTCGGCCCTCTGATGAAGGTGTCACACCCCGCGCCTCACAACGTCTGGGTCCAGGCTTCCAGCAAACCCTTCCACTGTGGTTCGCAGTGGATGGCTGCAGGAGGGTTTTGTCTCAGATCAGCCAATGCCGGACTCCCCAAAGCCAGTAGTCCAGCGGGGAGAGGTCAGGACTCCGTGGTGGCCATGGTCGCTCGGTGAGGCGGCTGATAACGCGCTCTTCGAAATTTTCGATCAGTCACTGGCGCAACAGCTGCCGTGGTGTGCACTGTGGCACCATCCTGCTGGAACCACAGGCCGTCTCTTTGAACCTTGTCCCTGACCTGAGGCAGAAGCATTCCTTGAGCAGCCTGAGGTAAGCCACCCCGTTCAGTGTTGACCCAGGGGAGAGCCAATGGCTGAAGACTTGTCCGTCGACCGTAATCCGTAATACGTTTTGGTGGTGTCGACATACTCTGCTTTTGCGTGAAAGAAAATTGGCGTTGTGAATTTTTTTATTTTTTGGAACAAAACCCTAATCAATTTGCAACAATATGCATATAAAATTCACGCAGAAGTGATAAATTAAGAGCTCCTAACTAAATGTTCAAAAGTAACATTCATTATGAAAGACCCTGTAGCATCCTATTTGCTAAGGGCCCTGATTCTCCGGTCTATCGTTCATTAAGCTGTGCTCCGTTTTGTGAGCGCCGTACATGGTTACTGGAAACAAATCCAACTGGGACTATGTAGAGTGTAGACACTACGCAGCTCTGTTAGCAAACGGCACCGTCTGAAAATCTCACATCAGTTGAACTCTATTTTTTATCCCGGCGCGGGTTAACCCGCGCCCCGTAGGGCTATCGGCGGACCCTACCACCCGTAGGGGAGGGGCCGTTTCGGCCCCCCCCTAAGATCTCGGAAATTTACCGGCCGATTTTCAAAATTCAAACGGTGTTCGATAGCCCCACCGGGGAACTACCTTGTGACCAAATTTCATTGACCCAGGTCAAACCGATGACGTCACAGGTCAGGTCAAAGGTCGGATTTTCACCGTTCACAGGCATTTCAAGAAATGTGTTGTGAAATTGAGTAAAATGGTAATTTATTGAAAACCATCGATGGTACATTGTTCGTCAAACACTTACTTTACTACCTGAGGTCACTGATACCAGGTCAGGTCACAGCGAGGTCAGGTCACCGGGGGCACAATATGAAAGTGTCGTATGATACATGTTTTATGGTCCATTTTACATGACAAATGCGATTATGTGGGTTAGGCAGCCTTTGGGGCCAGCCTGGGTCACATTTTGGTGAAGGTCAGGTCAAGGTCAGGTCAAATTAGGTCAAATTTCAAAGTTGATATTTTTGCATAATATGGGTATCGATTCGATGCAGCTCGTCACGGGGAGTCTAATGGTGGTCTTTGTTCTGCTCTACGAGACCTAGAATTGCCAAAAATTGAGTTTGAAAATTTGACGTCATCATTTTTGGACAGTTTTTTTCACTATAACTTGGCCAAAAAGCAGGTATCGATCTGAAATTTGGTATGTGGATAGAAGACGGTAGGTACTATCACATTTATTCCGGTTTTCTCGAAGCTAAAAAAAACTTTTTGGATTTTTTGGCTAATATATAAAAAAAATGCTTTTTTGATTTTTGGGGGTCAAAACTCAAAAATTTCAAAAATCCAAGATAATAGTTTTGTAGCCCTGTCAATTCTACACCTTTTATGTCTCGATCATTTTTCTGTATCTTCAAAGCTGTAGGCCTGACAGGTCTTCTCGCGAAGGTCTTTTTTCGGTCGAAAATGACAGAACATGACGTCATTCTGACGTCGTTTGTGGCCAACCTATCATAACCTCTGGATTTTTTTTGTCACAATGGGTACAATTGATGCCCGGAGGGGTCCTGAAAGTTTGGTGGCGATATCTCCAGCCGTTTAGGAGATATCGACGGAAAAGGACAGGGAGGGGCCGTTTCGGCCCCCCTACGGGGCGCGGGTTAATTAACCTTCGCCCAGGTGGGGCGTTTTTTTCTTTTCTTCTTTTTGGTCATACCTGTCAGTTTTTTGCGAGTGTAAAAAACCGCGGCGCACAGCGCGCGCCGCGAAACTTGATGTAGCTTATGGTACATTAATGTCGCATCATATGTAAAATTTTTGACCCCAGGTCACATAAGGTCAGGTCAACAAATCAAGTTAAGTGACCATGTATCTAAAAACCTTTGTGGTTCCATCATTCCTACAGGAAACATCCCAGAGGTTTGAAGCTCAGGCTATTGCATAAGGGAATCAGTACCAACACTTAGCATATCACGGAATTTTGAAATCTCATATCGGTGCCCTAAAGTCAGGCCAATTTTGTGACATCGCCATTATGAGTCAAGGGGACTAAATAGGGAGAAAATTAAAATGCTCTTATTGTGACTGAAAACACCAAAAACATCGGGACACAGGTAACCATGACACACTGAACCGGGAACTTGCACCTATCGATAGGCGTTATCACAAGTGTATTCGCGGCCATTGGGGCGACGTAAGAAAAGAAGAAAACAACTGGCCCCAAGAACTTTAAATTATCAGTTAGCATGCATCTTTTCCTTGATCTGTAGAGAATTTACCATTAATTGCTAGAGAAAATTGCATTTAAAATCTTCGATCTATGTTTTTTTTTCATCGTTTGCACAATATGTTCTTTTTTAAGCTAGAAACACTAATTAGAAATAGTTCCCGCATCATCAAGAACAATAGGGAAGGCTTGAAGTGAATACAATAATCTTAACGGTGTTGTAATCTATGTGAAGACACTTCTAAAATTGCCTGTAGAAATATTGAAGGCAAAAGTTCAACTTTTTCACAAGACGGATGTCTATAAACCTATTCAACGTGTGACAACTCAGCCGGTATTTCGTCGCCTACTGCCCAGCTTTCCCTAGTGACCGATAGAGGCGCTGCTATCGATGTCCGCCCGTGCCGCCTAACGTGACCCCATTTAGGCCCCCGAGGTCATCTCAGGTCACAAAACGTCTCCATTTTTTTGACAATAACTTTAGATCGAGACACGCTGAGTTGAACTCTGCAATATGTTTGGTAAACGCGTGATAAGCTTCCGCTGCAACCACTGTTTAGCCTATACAAATATGGAATATAGTTGTGCTTATATTGATATGAAAACATTTTTTAAAATACTTTTTGAAAAAAAAATATTTTTTTTCGTTTCTGGTCATTCTAAGCATGAAAAGTCATTAGTCTGTAGCAAAAACAAACAAACAAACAAACGAACAAACAAACAAGCAAACTGCACAAAAGTGGGCGATATCAATCACCTCTACCGCTTACCCGTCTGACTGCTGACCCATCTGACCGCTGACCACTGACGGCTGAGTGCTGACCACTGACCCGTCTGATCTGTCTGATCGCTGATTACATGACCAGTGACCACTGACCGATGGCTGATCTGACCGCTGACCCGTGTGGCTGTGCAGAGACGGCTGACCGCTGACCCGTGTGGCTGTGCAGAGACGGCTGACCGCTGACCCGTGTGGTTGTGCAGAGACGGCTGATGGCTGACCGCTGACCCGTGTGGCTGTGCAGAGACGGCTGACCGCTGACCCGTGTGGTTGTGCAGAGACGGCCACCAAGACGGGCATGATCCTGGTGCTGGGAGAGATCACCTCGAGGGCCACCATCGACTACCAGCAGGTGGTGCGCGACACCATCAAGGGCATCGGGTACGACGACAGCAGAAAAGGTGAGACGGCGGCCGACACCATCAGACACCAGACAGCAGAAAGGTGAGACGGCGGCCGACACCATCAGACACCAGACAGCAGAAAGGTGAGACGGCGGCCGACACCATCAGACACCAGACAGCAGAAAAGGTGAGACGGCGGCCGACACCATCAGACACCAGACAGTAGAAAAGGTGAGACGGCGGCCGACACCATCAGACACCAGACAGCAGAAAGGTGAGACGGCGGCCGATACCATCAGACACCAGACAGCAGAAAGGTGAGACGGCGGCCGACACCAGACAGCAGACAGCAGGAAGGTGAGACGGCGGCCGACACCATCAGACACCAGACAGCAGAAAGGTGAGACGGCGGCCGACACCATTAGACACCAGATAGCAGGAAGGTGAGACGGCGGCCGACACCATCAGACACCAGACAGCAGAAAGGTGAGACGGCGGCCGACACCAGACAGCAGAAAGGTGAGACGGCGGCCGACACCATCAGGCACCAGACAGCAGAAAAGGTGAGACGGCGGCCGACACCATCAGACACCAGACAGCAGGGAAGGTGAGACGGCGGCCGACACCATCAGACACCAGACAGCAGAAAGGTGAGACGGCGGCCGACACCACCAGACACCAGACAGCAGAAAGGTGAGACGGCGGCCGACACCAGACAGCGGGAGGGGTGAGCGCGGCCGACAGCCGGCAGACGTCAGACAGCGGGAGACACCAGACACAGGGAGACACTAGACAGCCGGTAAAAGACAGACAACGAGAGATGTGAGAGCAACGGATAGCCGAGAAAAGGACAGCGTGAGAGGTGAGAAGCCCGGGACACGGCGTGATGGCCCACGGCGCGCGGAAATGACAGGCCTGTGAGCAGTGAGCTCCATCCAGCTTGGCACGCTGGGGTAGTGGGCGATGCTGCGAACGGAAATGTGAAAATGGCAGCTCCGTGCACGGACTAGTGCTTTAGCAAAGGTGTTTGTTTTAGGGAATCACCTCGACTATACACAGATCATTATAAGTTATGATCAATTTAAATCAAAAACACAAATGTTGAAACGTGTTTTTAGCTTGCCACGATATTAATAAATTTATTCACCTCCCATATTCAACAAACAATGATATTCGCAAGTTTCTGACACCTAGAAATGTGCCCCGTGTGTTGGCCAGGTTTCGACCATAAAACCCTGAACCTGATGATCGCCATCGAGCAGCAGAATCCGGAAATTGCGGCTGGCGTGCACCACAACCGTCTGGAGGAGGAGGTGGGCGCCGGGGACCAGGTGAGAGGCCCGCGCCGCTCAGTCCGTCCGCAGACCGCCACCGGCACCGGCACCGCCACCGCCACCACCAACACCAACACCGCCACCGGCACCGGCACCGGCACCGGCACCGGCACCGGCACCGGCACCGGCACCGGCACCGGCCCGCGCCGCTCAGTCCGTCCGCAGACCGCCACCGGCACCACCACCGGCACCACCACCGGCACCGCCACCGCCACCGCCACCGCCACCGCCACCGGCACCGGCACCGGCACACCATGTACTCCGGCTCTGTGAAAGCTTTTAATTTTAATTTCCTTTTATGAACATTAGCAAAAAAGGTTTTCCAAATTGTTATGGCAAACTTTTTTGTAAAAAAAGAACGAGATTGCCGTGTTAAAGAGCTGATGTTGTTCGTCTTTTTGCATGTATATTTGCGTTTAACTTGTTAAGTCGTTTTTGGCATTTTTTCAAAAACAATTATTTTTATTATAACTGTTATGTTGATGAGTCAGTAAAACGGATATATCTAAAATGCTTTTATCAAATGTATAGTATGGAGCTTCAATATAAAATGTTAGAAATATTTTTCAAACATAAAAACAGAGAAACACTTCAAGAAATAACAAATGCAGCCCTGTCAAAAATATCTGAATGGCTAGAAGCAAATTACCTCACAGTGAACCCATCAAAAACATTTCTCCAAGTATATTCAAAACGGAGAACTGCTGAAAAGTTAAACATTTACATTAGAAACACAGCAGTAGTTGAAATGAAAACAGTGAAATATTTAGGAATCCTTATTGACTCTGACCTTAAATTCACATCTCATATCAGTAGCATATGTAAAATTATCAGCAGAAACATTGGAATGATTGCAAGAGCTAGACGCTTTATCCCAAAACAGCAGCTCATTCAATTATATTATTCTTTGATTTTTCCTTACATCAACTACTGCTGTTTCATTTGGGGTTCCAACTATGAAAACCACCTTCAAAGGCTGGTAATTCTGCAAAAAAGGTTCATGAGACTAATTGAAGGTATTTTCCCACCACAAAGTGCTACCCCAATATTTAAAAAATATAGTATTCTTAAAATTAAAGACGTAGCCAAACTTCAAATAATGCTTATCATGCATAAGTACATAATGCAGGAATTACCAGTCTCTGTAAGACGATTACTTCATCTTTCAACTGACCCTATCCATCAGACAAGAAATATCCATCATTTTCAACCTGTTTTTTCAACAAAAAATTACAGGCTCTACTCATTTCCTTGCATCGGACCCAAACTCTGGAATGACTTAATAGCTAAAGATCTTCTATTAGAAGAAGTACCTCAATCAAAAAACACTTTCAAAAAATATGTAAAGAATATCTTACTTAGTGAGTACTAAGCAAAAGTACTTATCAAAAGTTTAAGTAAAGTATTAGCAAAAGTATTAGTTAAGTAATCCTGGGTACTAAGTATCCTCGTAAATATACCTATAAATGAATATGAAAATATGTTAATCTTACAATAAGTAAAACAACAAGAACATGACAATAAATAGCAATGCATACCTAAATAGCGTAATACACACGCTTACCTAGTACTTTTCATACAAAGTGCTTAGCATCTCGACAAGTGGCCCAATAATAAATGGACATATTGGTGCATTTATTATTGGGCTAGGCTGACAATGATGTGTTGATAATTGTAACCTACCTTCGTGATTATCAACACAGGAGATACGTCCCCACTCAAATGGAACGCCGGACTTGAAGGGGTCCATCAGCAACAAGCCCTGCTTAGCTGGTGGGCCCTAGAAAGTCTGGCTGTTGACCTGCGCTCGAATTGACCAGAAATGTTTCCCCACTGGATTGCCATTTGCTGATTTTTCTTCTAGGAGTGAAAGGCTGAATGCACTCTACTAACCAATTATGTATGCATGTATGAATGACTTCTTTCTTAGATGTAGTAGAACAGTCATCCGCTGCTTTCAGCAATGACTACTTTGGCTCTCTTTATTTATTAACCGGTTCCCGCACTTCTTTTGCTTACTTTGTTTTTTTTTAATTTTCCTAGCTGGGAGTGCCGCGACTTATCCTTTTTTATTTTTGTCTGGTGTTAACGTAAGGTGCTGTGAGTCGCTGGGCTGAGGGTGGGGGCACTCCTGGTCACCTAATAATGGGTGGCGGAGTAGTTTGAAAAAAATTGACCTTATGCTCATATTTTAGTATAAATAATAATATGAGCATAAGGTCAATCCTATTATTATTATTGATATTAATCATGCTCAAAGCAACGTTATACCATATACAAGAGTGGAACATCCATAAAGACACGCCAAATTGGTGGAGGGGAAGGCATGCCGTCACGTTGCTAGCTCAGATGGTTCATGAGTTATTCAAGAATGACAGATTGGACCGGATCAACCAAGGATCAACCACCACCGCTGACCAGTGACCACCCCTGTCCCGGGCAGCTATGGGGTACGGGATGAGGCTAGTGAAGGGACACTACTAGAGTGGTGGTGATTGGGGGGGGGGGGGGTGAGGGCTGGGGGGAGAGGATATGATGGTGGGACCAGCTACTAGAACGGGACTTGCGGAGCCAGGCCAGTGGACCAACTCACGTAGTGAAACCCTGTATCCCCGACCTGTGAGCTGTGCCATTGGCCTGTGACGCTGACCTGTGACCTGTGACGCTGACCTGTGACCTGCTGTGACCTGCCGCCAGGGCCTGATGTTCGGCTATGCCACGGACGAGACTGAGGAGTGCATGCCGCTGACCGTGGTGCTGGCGCACAACCTCAACCGCAAAATCGCCGAAATGAGGAAGGAGGGATCACTGTGGTGGGCCCGGCCCGACTCCAAGACACAGGTGGGACCGATCGGCGGCACCGACACCGCGCACAGCCAGCGCCACATGCCACCCCCTGCCCTCATACAGGCTGCGCCGCGCCACACGCCACCACACCCTCGTACAGTCTGCGCCACGTACTCTCAGTCTTGTACAGTCTGCGCCAATTACTAGATACCCATGTCAATAGATATTAGATTTTTGGGTTTACCAAAACCGACATCAAGTTTATATTTTGATGTCATATTTTTTCTGTGCATACCTACCCAGGGTAAAATGTTGCTGAGTCTCTCAATCTTTTTTTTTTTGCGTTGCCTATGGTTTTGTTTTGTATTGGTTTCGCGATGCTCTGCGGTTGACAATGCCACCTACCGACCACTTTATGCCATGGTTCACTCCTACTCCAGCTGTGTCAGTCAGGTGGGCCCAGTATAAACTAATGTATCACAGCCCATGACGAGACGCACCGTCCAGCGATCGGGTGCCATGCTTATAATTATTTATACTTCGTGGTAAGGTATGTGTTTAATGATAAATGTTCCCGCGACCAGAAGTTTAAATGCGGCCTGAATAATTTCAGCTGTCAGACCGCCATTAGTTCGACCCCAGCTGTCAGCCTCGGGCAGCTGTCAGCTGTCAGAGTAGCCCCAGCTGTCAGAGCGACCCCAGCTGTCAGCCTCGGGCAGCTGTCAGCTGTCAGAGTTACACCAGCTGTTAGCCTCGGGCAGCTGGGGCATTCCACGATAGATCGTACCACTTTTTTCGAATTTGACACCCTCATCTCTCGGATTTTAACACGATAATTGGTCTAAAGGGTAATCAGGGGCTCTGAATCCTCCTGTAACAATTTCAAGCTTATCAGATGAGTGGTTTTTGAGTTATAGTGTATAACATGTTTTGGATCTTGCGTTGCAGCCCCAAGTTTGGCGGGCTGTAACTCTAAGACGGATAATCCAAATGCCAAATGCTGTACGGCATTAAACTTGCATTGAAACAAAGAATAATACGCATTGTCAAAATTTTGAAATATATACTATTTTTGATATATAACACCTCGAGTTTCCTTTAATTTGCATTTTTATGCCTTTGGGACCACATTTTTTGAATTTTTATTTACTTAAAAACATTTTTGGATCATTTTTAAGTAGTAATGCAAAAATTAGGAAGGTGTTCTTTCTATAAATGTACTTATTTTGCGTCACCGTAATGGTCTCGAATTGTGATTTCGGAAAAGAGCCTACAAATGGTGTGGTAAAGCTGCCTAGTGACATCACTGGTTACTGAAAGTTCAGTTGAAGTCATTTTCGCCTCACTTTTGCATTGTTGATCTTTCGTGACGTCATTCGTACGTCACTAGGGTCATAAGAGTTTTTCGTCAATAACTCTCGATCAAATTGAGCTAGAGAGACGGGAAAGCTACCAATGGACTCGGAAAGACATTGCGAATCGAATGATGTGCAATATGATCTCATTCACTCAGTTTCGTGGCCTGACCCGACTGTTAACCATCTCTGTAGCGGCGCTGTTTGTCCAGCGCCGCGCTGGTTGGCTTTGCCGCGGACTCGAGCGGTCACGTGATGCCCGGGGGCTGGCTGCCGGCTGGGCCGCCCGGTCGGGGCGCGGAGCCAAATACACGGCAGTGTGCTGACCCGAGGTCAGCGACTTAAGCTGACTTCACCAGAACAAACAGTATACCATTCGACGCGCCGGAGCTAGGCAAACACAAAGATGCTAAAATCGCGGCTCTGCGACCATTTGTTGCTAAGTTATCTATCAAAAACCGGACCCGTGATTTGGGTCACTTGAAATGACCTCAGGGGTCACCAATGAACCTGAGACCTTAAAATGTGGTATTATTCGATGCATCTTGTAACGGCGCACATGCTCGTTTTTTTCCGCAAGGTTCTAGCTCCATTAGAGGCGAAACGGCGAGCTGGGGTCGTACCAACCCCCCGGAAACCCATTTTGTATACATTTAAATGAGGAATTTATAGAAAGAAAACCTTTCTAATTTTTTGCATGTCGATTTTAACCCTATTAGTGGCAGGGGGGTTAATTTTATCCACCCCTCAGGTTTTTCGGGAATATCTCCGAAACCGCTGAAGCTACGATGCTGAAATTTTCTGACTTTTCCTAAAACTAAATTGGGCACATTCCCTGAAAATTTCAAGTTCATAACTTTACCAGGGGCGGCTCCAGAGCACTGGGAATTGGGGGGTCCTATTCGTGAAGCGAGTCATTTGGGCGAAGATCACGATGCTGCACCAGTTTTACGAACAGTGAATGAAAGGTATCATGTGATAACATATACAAAGTTATTGTGCATCCTTTTTTGACACGTTTTTGCTATAATAGGCGGATCCAGGCGTCCAAAAAGGGGGGTTATTTTTTACCTCCCAACATATGTGCCCTGACACCGCCTATGCATGACCAATACAATTTTAGTCGTTCTCTCATAAGAAAATTGTAACATAACAAGACCATTGCCACCCTTTTTAGAAACAGTACCAACAAAAACCTTATTTACTATACTTTTTGTGTACCCCCAATCTCAATGATCTGTATCCGCCTATGATTTTTTGAAAATGCATATTTTTAGGATCCATGTGAATTCCTGGTTCATTCTCTATCGATCGGCAAAAGTTGCGTTAAGATTGGTTCAGAAACCTGGCTGTGATAAACAGTCTAAAATGTATCTGCAATTTGCCCGTTTTTACCCCCCTCTACCCCCCTATTGACATTTTTCAATTTTATTTTTTTAGAAATGTAGATCTCGTTGAGCGAAATCGAATGTCGTTTGAATTTTGAAAATCGGCCCGTTAGATCTCGAGATATCAAGGGGGGGTCGTAAACAGCCCCCCCTGCCACTAATAGGGGGTAGCCAGGAGCCTGCCACTAATAGGGTTAAAGGACCTGGGGTTTATTTAAAAAAAAAAAAATGGCAAAAATTTTGGTCCCAAGGGCCATTAAAGACAATTAAAAAAAAATACTACGACTTTTTCAATATGTTCAGCTTTTCTTTCCAATTATAAAAATACTGTATTAATCTTTGATTCATCGTTAGTTCAAAGCTGTTTACCGTTTGTTGCTTGCTTAGCTCGTTTTTGAGTTATAGCTCATCAAACTCACCCTAACAATCTGAAGTTTAGAAAATATTATGCAATGTAACTAAAAAAGTTTTGATCTGAGAAGTCTGATATTTTGACAGGTGTTTTTGGAGCCTATGATTACCCCTTGTACCAATTTTCATTCAAATCTGAGAGATGAGGGTGACGGGCCTGGTACGATCTATCGTGGAATGCCCCAGCTGTCAGCCTCGGGCAGCTGTCAGCTGTCAGCCTCGGGCAGCTGTCAGCTGTCAGAGCGACCCCAGCTGTCAGAGCGACCCCAGCTGTCAGAGCGACCCCAGCTGTCAGAGCGACCCCAGCTATCAGCCTTGGGTAGCACGCACCCCTCGACCACTCGAGCGGGGCGATACCTTTTTATTTTGTTCATAAATTTAGTCGAACCTTTGCAATGGAAGGGTTGTCAAGGACAGGACCCCCGCTAAGCGAAGCTTGTTGCGATGACCCTGCTCGACCTTCAGATCGCGCAATGCCGGATCTGTGGCAGATGTTGGAGTCCAAAGCTTAGCGTGCGCGCATAGCCGCACACGGCCGATCCCCTCACTGACTTCGCCTGGCTATGGCCTGCCACTAAACGCAACCATGCCTGCCAGGAGGCTCGTAAACGTCAAGCGCCCGTCGCACTTTGAATCCGGACTGTTATAACCGGAAACGCGTGCTCTCACCACGCGGCGTCCAACGCCCTACCAACTGAGCTACGGGACCTTGGACTAGTATACGCTGTAGATAGAGGACATACAAACAAGGACACTCAATTGATTATACAACACCAGCTTCCAGTCCATCAGCCACTGACGCTCATAGACCCCGGAAACCAGCACAAAAACCGACCTGACATGATGGCACCGTTTGACCCCATCCCGCAACGGACACACACCTTTCCGGGTCTTCTTTTCGTTTTCACAAAATGCTTATTTTATTGTCAATGAAGTGATTGAGATTGGGCTAGGCGGCCACTGACTGCGGGGATTTGGCCAGATGACCACTGACTGCGGAAACTATTGGGAGGGTAACCGGCGGACCGTTCTCGGCTATTGGGAGGGTAACCGGCGGACCGCTCTCGGCTATTGGGCGGGTAAACAGAGGACCGTTGTCGGCTATTGGGAGGGTAACCGGTGGACCGTTGCCGTCTATTGGGCGGGTAACGGCGGACCGTTGCCGGCAGGTGACCATTGAGTACGCCAACAAGGGCGGCGCCATGATCCCGCTGCGGGTGCACAGCGTGGTCGTGTCCATCCAGCACGCGCCCGAGATCTCTCTGGAGGACCTGCGCCGAGAGGTGATGCAGAAGGTGAGTCGGCGGCAGGTCAGCGCGCCAGGCCGGCGCTCACCGACTCACCGCGCCCCGGCGCGGTGTGGTGACCCAGCCCCTGACCTAGTGACCAGATCACACAGCTCATCCGATGTGGCATGACCTCCCGGTGTAACCAATGTGACCTACCGGTGTGACCTCCCGGTGTGACCTCCCGGTGTAACCAATGTGACCTACCGGTGTGACCTCCTGGTGTGACCTCCCGGTGTGACCGGTGTGACTGGTGTGACCTCCCGGTGTGACGTCCGGCAGGTGATACCCGAGGTGATCCCGTCCAAGTACCTGACCGGTAACACCATCTACCACGTGAACCCGTGCGGCGAGTTTGTCATCGGCGGCCCGCAGGGCGACGCCGGCCTCACCGGACGCAAGATCATCGTCGACACGTACGGCGGCTGGGGCGCGCACGGCGGCGGCGCCTTCAGGTGAGGCAGCGGCAGCAGCACAGGCTGGCGGCAGCAGCACAGGCTAGCGGCAGCAGCACAGGCTAGCGGCAGCAGCACAGGCTAGCAGCAGCAGCACAGGCTAGCAGCAGCAGCACAGACTAGCGGCAGCAGCACAGGCTAGCAGCAGAGCGAGGCGGGACAGAGCACAGCGTCAGGAGGCCGAGGACAGGAGAGAGCAACTGGCAGGGAGAACAGAGGGGGCAGGGGAGGAGGGGAGGAGGACAACTGATAACAGATGGAATGGTGTTCTCTCATGTGTAACAGTGTGTCCCAATGTCACGACAAGGCCAGACCAGCACCATTGACCATTGGTGACCTTGGCTGAGTATTTTCAGTTTTAGGTTTTCTAGTTTTTTTTTTTCGGAACTGCTGTCTAATTAAGCGTTCATATGAACGTTTCATATTTATGTAGATTGAGATCGGCAGCATCCTGGCTGCTATGATGTCAGAGGTCAATGGTGATAAGCAGTAAGCACCTAGGTAAATACTATGGATAACCGACGTCCGGCAGGAACCCTGACGATTGACCTAACATGGCCTGACCCAGCCTATCTCAAATACATGAATGCATAATCCGGGAACAAAACAAATGCTTTTTTATTTAGGGGCCCTCTCCCCCGAATGAAAATAAAATCCTTGATACAAGAAGTTCCAACAGGTCCCAAATTTCCGGACAGACGTCGGCCCTCTACGGTAGACGCCGTAAAAACGCCAAAACGGGTGCGACAGGCCACGGCCTTCCATAACGCGGTCGGCCAGGGGGGGGGGGGGGGGTGCGGGGAGGGTTGGTACGCCCCCCCCCCTTGGCGACCAGACGGCTGTAGTGAGCGCGGGAGCGGCTCCGGCGTGGCGAGCGGCTCAATGGCCGGGGGAGGCCGCCCAGCGCGCCCACCCTCTCCACGAGAGCCAGCGCTCCAGTGAGCGTCATCTGCGACATCTCCGCAGTCCGCACCTCCCCTCGGTGACTTTCTGACGAAGGGCGTGCGGTCGTTGGTGATGCCCAATGTCCAGGTATAGAGGGCCTGTCCTGGGTATTTCTGATCACATTTCGCTTATCTGCTAAGCGAGTTTTGTGCAGTGTACCAGACAATGAGCGTGCAGCGCAGTCGGTCACCGCTCTGTGATCGTGGCCGCCGTCCCCGTCATCCGGCTCTGCATGGATGCTGCCCGTCGTACACGGCGGACCACGACACTGGCTGAGGGGCACCTCCACTGACTGAGGGCACCTCCACTGGCTGAGGGAGGGGCACCTCCACTGGCTGAGGGAGGGCACCTCCACTGGTTGAGGGAGGGGCACCTCCACGGGCTGAGGGAGGGGCACCTCCACGGGCTGAGGGAGGGGCACCTCCACTGGCTGAGGGAGGGGCACCTCCACTGGCTGAGGGCACCTCCACTGGCTGCGGGCACCTCCACCTGCTGAGGGAGGGGCACCTCCACTGGTTGAGGGAGGGCACCTCCACTGGCTGAGGAAGGGGCACCTCACCGGTCGCCGTCTCTGTGTCCATTAGACCCACGGAATCCTCGTCAACTTAGGGCGTATCAAGTGTCATTTTGGGTCACGGGAGACGGGTGGTCGTTCCCGAATCCCGGTATGATGTTTTGGTAGGTAATAGGTATTTCTTTCGGACAAGGAGCGGCTGGCTTATGTTTCCTGAGTTGTTTTCGGGGAATATTTGTTTCTGGTCCCTAAAAAGCTGTTTCTGGCACCTAATTGCTGATCAGCCCCAAAATGCTTATTCGACCCTAATATCTGAATCTGGCACCTAATTGCTTCCACACAGCCTAAAGTTGCCAGATTGTCTAGTTGAACTCCGTATTTGCTGCTTGCTGATTCAGCACCAAAACCACAACATCCAGCACCTATTTTATTCCACGTTTGCCTACCTAATTCGCGTAATCTTCCTGATTTTATGTATCCTAACAAACATGAACGTTGCATTCGGTGATGTCAAGTGCCATTTTCGCCAGTGGAGATAATGATTAATGCCATTTCTAGCCAAAAGAGAATCACTAGCCAGCTATGGTGCAGCATAGCAAGACGCTCCTATACCAGCCCGCTATGTAGAGATTATTGCACACTCAGCCATTTTAACGTGAAAAGTTTGGATCCGTCACTTCCAGCCAGGCTCTCAGGTCATAAACTGGAGTAAAGCAAAATGTCAACTCTGAACAGACATGCCACGCAACCGGCCCTCTTTTCAATATTATTAGCTTTCTGCAATCATCGTCTGACTCCATCTCGATCAAACGCAGCATCCGGTTTCTACAGGGGCGTTTAACTGACCGGCCACACAATAACCAAAAACAAAATCAAAGCTTCATGCACACATAAGTAAGAAACGGATGAAAAAGGCACAACCACGGCACAACTCTGCGCGGCAAACAACGGACAATGTCCCACGCAAGATCCCGCGTTTCTTCAGCGGCCTTGAACGGAATGAAAACATTACATTTCTTTTTTGGAGCTATTTGATGACGTCAAAAAATACAATACCCGTTTTAATGGTCAAAATGGAGACAATTACTCACAAAAATGTTTCCCTTTAAGCATTACAAATAAATACTTTTAAATATTTAAATGACATTGTTTTTTTCAAACAAATCAATATTATTTGCTTACTTAAACGTCATATACAATGCTGAGATCACTACGGGGCTGTCTTAGAGTGTAGCTGCACTGGCAACCTTTAAGCTAGACTCCAGGGGTCATTATACCAGAACAACATGATTCTACCAGCCAGTAGTTCATTTTTCTACTAGATTGGTGCTACGCTCAGCATTTAGGTGCCAGATTCAGAAAAAAGAGTAAGGCGAACCGATGAATAGGTGCCAGAAACAGGTAATTAAGGTCATTTTCCATGATTGGTGCTGGTATCCACCAAATAGGTGCTGAGGACCAATTTTGGGGCGAGTCAGCTTTTAGGTGCCAAAAATAGCTTTTCTGGGACGCAATTAAATGGCGTCCGTTGTTTTCTTTCCCCCGTGACGGGATGCTCTGTCGTTGCGGAAGGAAGACCAAGGTTTCGATGACCTTCAGACATGCTCTGCACCGAGACTGCGTTGGTTAGTGACAAAAGTGTCTCTTGTGCAGGGGCGTCGCCACCGCTCACCAACTTGTCGAAATTTGTACGGACATTCCGTTCAAGTTTTCGGGCCTTCCAAAACTTGTACGGACGCTGTCCGTAGTGTCCGTATGGTGGCGACGCCCATGCTCTTGTAAGTTGTGCACCGGAACAAATTACGCGCGAGCCGGAAACACCGAGAGTACCTATATGTACAGTTTACACAGAAAACAAAAACAAAGAAAAGTTAATCACCGTACTTTTTGTTGATATTTTTATTGTTTTGCCTTTCTTTGATCATTCAGTTGGAAGACACTGAGAAGTAACCTAGCGAGATACATTGCTAGCCCCCGGCCTCGCCTGTGCGTCTGACGCCATGGTTGGCACGGGCAGCACGTGTGTTTATTTGGCTGGGAAATGTGGGCCAAGATCGGTCAGCTGAAACAGGAGTGGGGCGGATTTGGGGCCATTGACGGGGCTGTACATACATATACTCGTAACAATAACTAACTAAGGCAGAACGCTGTTTCTTTGCCAGTCTGTCTGTCTGTCTGTCTGTCTGTCTGTCTGTCTGTCTGTCTGTCTGTGTTCGTGGGTGCGTGCGTGCGTGCGCGTGTGTGTGTGTGTGTGTGTGTGTGTGTTTTGACTCTCCTCTTCCTCTGGCCGTCTCTGACTGACTCTGGCCTCCGCCTCCGGCAGTCTGGCCGTCTCTGACTGACTCTGGTCTCCGCCTCCGGCAGTCTGGCCGTCTCTGACTGACTCTGGTCTCCGCCTCCGGCAGTCTGACTGTCTCTGACTGACTCTGGTCTCCGCCGCAGTCTGACTGTCTCTGACTGACTCTGGTCTCCGCCTCCGGCAGTGGTAAGGACTACACCAAGGTGGATCGCTCGGCCGCGTACGCTGCGCGCTGGGTAGCCAAGTCGCTCGTCAAGGCTGGACTCTGCAAACGGTGCCTCGTCCAGGTCAGTGGCACACTGGCACCCCCCCCCCCCACCTCCCACCCTCACCCACTCACAGCTTCCCTCACTCACCTATAGCCCCCCCCCCCACACACACACACACACTCACCCCTAACCCTCGTGGCCCCACACACACTATCTCTATCCACACCATGGATGGGACCCACACAAACCCATTATCCCTTCTCCGCCGCCAGTCGCCACCCCTACCCCGCGCACACACCATAACCCATCCGGAGTCCTGCTGTGACCCTCTGATGTGACCCTCTGATGTGCTCCACTGCTCTGCCCCGCCGCTGTGTCCTACCGCGCTGTGACCCGCCGCTGTGACCCGCCGCTGTGACCCTCTGATGTGACCCGCCGCTGTGACCCGCCGCTGTGACCCGCCGCTGTGACCCGCCGCTGTGACCCTCTGATGTGACCCTCTGATGTGACCCTCTGATGTGACCCTCTGATGTGACCCGCCGCTGTGACCCGCCGCTGTGACCCTCTGATGTGACCCGCCGCTGTGACCCGCCGCTGTGACCCGCCGCTGTGACCCGCCGCTGTGACCCTCTGATGTGACCCTCTGATGTGACCCTCTGATGTGACCCGCCGCTGTGACCCGCCGCTGTGACCCTCTGATGTGACCCGCCGCTGTGACCCGCCGCTGTGACCCACCGATGTGACCCGCCGATGTGACCCTCTGATGTGACCCGCCGCCAGTCCTCGTACGCGATCGGCGTGGCGGAGCCCATTTCGATCACGGTGTTCCACTACGGTACGAGCAAGTACACGCAGCGCGAACTGCTCGAGATCGTGCTGAAGAACTTCGACCTCCGGCCAGGCAAAATCGTGAAGTAAGCGAGCCGCCCGGGCCAGACAGTCTGGATGTTAGACTCAGAGGCCCAGCCGGTCAGGCGCAGCGGCGTCCGACGGTGTGGCTGTCCGCAGTCGATGGATGTGGCTGTGTGTCTGTCCGCAGTCGGTGGGTGTGGCTGTCCGCAGTCGGTGGGTGTGGCTGTATGTCTGTCGGCAGTCGGTGGGTGTGTCTGTGTGTCTGTCAGCAGTCGGTGGATGTGGCTGTATGGCTGTCCGCAGTCGGTGTGTGTGTCTGTCCGCGGGCAGTCGGTGGGTGTGGCTGTCGGCAGTCGGTGGGTGTGTCTGTATGTCTGTCGGCAGTCGGTGGGTGTGGCTGTCCGCAGTCGGTGGGTGTGGCTGTCCGCAGTCGGTGGGTGTGGCTGTCGGCAGTCGGTGGGTGTGGCTGTCGGCAGTCGGTGGGTGTGTCTGTCCGCAGTCGGTGGGTGTGTCTGTCCGCAGTCTGTGGGTGTGTCTGTCCGCAGTCGTTGGGTGTGGCTGTCTGCAGTCGGTGGGTGTGACTGTGTGGCTGTCCGCAGTCGGTGGGTGTGTCTGTCCGCAGTCGGTGGGTGTGTCTGTCCGCAGTCGGTGGGTGTGGCTGTCCGCAGTCGGTGGGTGTGGCTGTCGGCAGTCGGTGGGTGTGTCTGTGTGTCTGTCCGCAGTCGGTGGGTGTGTCTGTCTGCAGTTGGTGGGTGTGGCTGTCCGCAGTCGGTGGGTGTGGCTGTCCGCAGTCGGTGGGTGTGGCTGTCCGCAGTCGGTGGGTGTGGCTGTGTGGCTGTCGGCAGTCGGTGGGTGTGGCTGTCTGCAGTCGGTGGGTGTGGCTGTCCGCAGTCGGTGGGTGTGACTGTGTGGCTGTCCGCAGTCGGTGGGTGTGTCTGTCTGCAGTTGGTGGGTGTGGCTGTCCGCAGTCGGTGGGTGTGGCTGTCCGCAGTCGGTGGGTGTGGCTGTCGGCAGTCGGTAGGTGTGTCTGTGTGGCTGTCCGCAGTCGGTGGGTGTGGCTGTCGGCAGTCGGTGGGTGTGTCTGTGTGGCTGTCGGCAGTCGGTGGGTGTGGCTGTCGGCAGTCGGTGGGTGTGGCTGTCCGCAGTCGGTGGGTGTGGCTGTCGGCAGTCGGTGGGTGTGTCTGTCCGCGGGGAGTCGGTGGGTGTATCTGTATGGCTGTCGGCAGTCGGTGGGTGTGGCTGTCGGCAGTCGGTGGGTGTATCTGTATGGCTGTCGGCAGTCGGTGGGTGTGTCTGTGTGTCTGTCCGCAGTCGGTGGGTGTGGCTGTCGGCAGTCGGTGGGTGTGGCTGTCGGCAGTCGGTGGGTGTGTCTGTCGGCAGTCGGTGGGTGTGGCTGTCGGCAGTCGGTGGGTGTGGCTGTCGGCAGTCGGTGGGTGTTGCTGTCGGCAGTCGGTGGGTGTATCTGTATGGCTGTCGGCAGTCGGTGGGTGTGTCTGTCGGCAGTCGGTGGGTGTGGCTGTCGGCAGTCGGTGGGTGTGGCTGTCGGCAGTCGGTGGGTGTGTCTTTATGTCTGTCGGCAGTCAGTGGGTGTGGCTGTCCGCAGTCGGTGGGTGTGGCTGTGTGGCAGTCGGTGGGTGTGTCTGTGTGGCTGTCCGCAGTCGGTGGGTGTGGCTGTGTGTCTGTCCGCAGTCGGTGGGTGTGTCTGTCCGCAGTCTGTGGGTGTGTCTGTCCGCAGTCTGTGGGTGTGGCTGTCGGCAGTCGGTGGGTGTGGCTGTATGTCTGTCCGCAGTCGGTGGGTGTGGCTGTGTGTCTGTCCGCAGTCGGTGGGTGTGTCTGTCCGCAGTCGGTGGGTGTGTCTGTCAGCAGTCGGTGGGTGTGTCTGTGTGGCTGTCGGCAGTCGGTGGGTGTGTCTGTGTGGCTGTCGGCAGTCGGTGGGTGTATCTGTCCGCAGTCGGTGGGTGTGTCTGTCCGCAGTCGGTGGGTGTGGCTGTCCGCAGTCGGTGGGTGTGGCTGTCGGCAGTCGGTGGGCATGGCTGTCCGCAGTCGGTGGGTGTGTCTGTGTGGCTGTCCGCAGTCGGTGGGTGTGGCTGTCGGCAGTCGGTGGGTGTGTCTGTCCGCAGTCGGTGGGTGTGGCAGTCGGCAGTCGGTGGGTGTGGCTGTCCGGTTGCTGACCAGCTGACCATCCACCAGCGGCCGGCCGGCTGTCAGCCCTGTCTGAGCGCCGCCCGCCTCTGTCCGACAGGGAGTTGAACCTGCGCCAGCCCATCTACCAGCAGACGGCCAGCTACGGCCACTTCGGCCGCGACTGCTTCACTTGGGAGCAGCCCAAGAAGCTGGAGCTGTAGCGGGCAGCGCCGCCACTCAGGACACGCCAACATTGCCGCCGGCTGTCCAGGCGATAGCTCGTGTGACCGCTCCGCTGGCAGAAACGGGGTAGGAGAAGGGGAGAGATGAGCGAGGTGAAGAACGAGCGAGCTAGCAAGAGAGAGAGAGAGAGAGAGAGAGAGAGAGAGAGAGAGAGGAGAGAGAGAGAGAGAGAGAGAGAGAGAGAGAGAGAGAGAGAGAGAGAGAGAGAGAGAGAGAGAGAGAGAGAGAGAGAGAGAGAGAGAGAGAGAGAGAGAGAGAGAGAGAGAGAGAGAGCGTGGCCGGGAGCGTGCGCCGGTGCCTGATACACTGTGGTCCGTTTCCGTGTACTGTGTGCGCGCGGCGACCCGGTGACGTCCATTGTGGCCTTCACTCCGTGACCAGCCAGCGCCGAGGGTGGCCGCTGGCCTGTGGCAGGCTCTGTGGGCCGGCGAGTGTAATGGGCCACTGGTCTGTGGCCGGCACTGTGGGCCGCTGGTCTGTGGCTGGCACTGTGGGCCGGCGAGTGTGGTGGGCCGCTGATCTGTGGCTGGCACTGTGGGCCGCTGGTCTGTGGCTGACACTGTGGGCCGCTGGTCTGTGGCCGTCGCGCGGTCGACCGGTGGCCCGTTCAATGCTCCCTGACCACTCAGTGCCGCCCTGCGGAGGTGCAATACTTTTAGGTATGTCGCCGAGTATGACAGATGGCTCTGTCGTGTCTTATATGGTCACATTATTTGGGACGGCCGGAACACTTTTGTTCTACATATTGTGTATTTTGGCCAATAAAATGTAAACTCGTCGTGATCTTTGGGTGTTCGGGAACGAAAGTATTAACAAAGGTATCCAGAAATACTATGTCTATCTATTTAGGAGGACAGTTTGGCGTTGATGGCGGCAGAGTAGAGGGGCTCCCAGTCGGCGAGGAGCAGAGGAGGCAGTCAGGGGGCGCCCCAGTCTGCGAGTAGCAGAGGAGGCAGTCAGGGGGCGCCCCAGTCTGCGAGTAGCAGAGGAGGCAGGCAGGGGGCGCCCCAGTCGGCGAGGAGCAGAGGCCGACAGGGGCGCCCCAGTCAGCGTTCCCCGGCTGATGGTCGACAATTGACCCGGACAGCACCCTGACTGAGTCTTGTGGAGTGTGAACAGCTGGTATAGTTGTAGTTAATAGGGTCTAGTGGCGGGGTGGCGGGTAGAGGTGCGTCAGTTCTTCCACCACCAGCTGACGGATATTGATATCGCCCAAAAATATCGCGAAAACCGTGCGCGCCTGGAGCGGTGGCTCTGAGAAGGTTGGCGTTGTACCTAGTCGCCTGGAGTGAAAACTGGCCTTCCAGTGGTAGAAGCGTCCACTGACGGAGAGCTGCACAGTGCCTCAGAGGATGGCCCGGTGCCAGTTCCGGCCGGGTCTGGCCGCTCGCCGGTTGTCTTCTGCCATTGTGATGGAGACACTGCGCTCAGGCGCTGTGCAGAGCTGGTATGGTGTTTCACTGGCCGGTAAAGGTCTGCATATAGGCCGGCTGCGGCCACGGCCGCCTGCATCCCCACGGCTGCGGGGCGGGGCAGAAGCAAGTATCTTCAATAGCAGGGCTACGGCTATGGCCACGGCTGAGATTTTGAGCTTAATTACACATTTTAACCCGCGCCCCGCTGAGGGTCCTGGATTTCCACGCCTGCTGGGGGGAGGGGGGTGCTTGAACACCCCCTTCTCACTCGGCTCCTGGGTCACGTAGCGATACGGAAAAGGTGGCGTTCGAAAGGGCGTCAAAATAAGGAAGAAAACACCCCGTCACTTTTTGGTTAGGTCAAAGGTCACGTCACCAGAGGTCATTGAACCCTATTCCTGGCGGGCTCCGCCGGGACAAGAAACTGGCGGGGGGGGGGGGGCCGATTCGGCCCCCCTTCAGATCTCAAAAACTACACATCGCAGCGACAAACGGTAAACGGCATCGGATACGCACGGTCACGATCTACAATTTTTACCAAGGTCATTTTCAGGTCAGGTCAAAGATGACGTCACAGGGGTCGAAAAAGTCAAAATGGCGGCGCTAGATATGGAGAAAGTTTTTCTCGAATAACTTTCGAATTAGTCAAGATAGGAACAAACTAAAGGCATCATCGTGATCCTCTCGTCAATCCGCATCGAATGATATGTATGTTGACCTCGAAAGGTCAAGGTCAAAGGTTGACCTCAGGTCACGTGACCTCGAGGTCATCATGTATATCATTCGATGCGTCTTGACGAGCTGAACACAATGAGACCATCCACGCGTCTGTATCTTGTTCCTGTACGGAGTTGTTGGCCAAAAACCTTTGGTGACCTTTGATGACGTCACATGACCTCACAGCTGCCCAACAGCAAAACAGACCTCAAGGTAGTGAAGGTTGATCGTATATGAAGTCATGTATGGTATATGGGGCCATTCCGACCCGTTTTAGTGGTAAAAACAGGGAGTTGATTTTTCCCCCATTGACTTATAATGGGGAGGTCGCGAAACTGACCTGACCTTAGGTCACCGATATCAAAATTCCGAGATATACAAATTGCACATACTGGTACCCTAACTAAATCCTGAAGAGAAGAAATTGATCGGTCAAAAACTCTAGCTCTGGCGTGATTGCAAACTTTTCTGAGGTAGGGTCACCAAACCGCCTCTGGTGACCTGACCTGAGGTCAGATCAACTCAAAATTTTCAGACATGTTGCGTAGAAGCCTTTTAGGAAAAGTCAGAAAATTTGAGCTTCCTAGCTCAACGCGTTTGGGAGAAATAACCAAAAAACCTCAGGGGGGAGGCTCCTGAGGCCCCCCCGCCAGGAATAGGGTGAAGGCCAAAATTCGCCGATTTGTAGGTCAGATGTCGACAATTTTCAACAAATCGACGCACAGCTCGGAAACTAATAAAGCTACAGCGCCGCAGTAAAGCGCATTTGATAGCCCTATTAACGCTCTTTCTGGGTAATTCTCTCAGATTTGTCCTACTGTCAACGTTTTCGCCTGCAGGGGGCGAAAACTGCCAAAATAGCCGTTTTTTCGGAAACAGTTTTTCTGCAATAACCTCTGACTCAAACCTTGCACGAGCTTTCTTTCACCCAGCATCGTGTTCCCCTCGTGAAGACGCGTCGAATGAACTATCGCTTGACCTTGAAAGGTCAACTTGAAAATTTGACCTCAGGTCAAGGTCATGACCTGACCGGTAAAGGTCAAGTTGCATATCAGTCGATCCGTATCGTCGAGCTAAACACAAATAATGTATTTTCATCGCTCTGGCATGCTCCTATCAAAAGTTATTCGCGAAAAACAGTCACATACCATTGGTGACCTGAGATGACCTCAGGGGCATAAAAAGGGGTCACGGATGCCATTTCCATGTTCAGTGTGTCAAAGATACTATTAATTCAGTGTTTTAGAGTGTTTATAATTACTTCCGTCTAAAACGGCGACTTTCATTTTCTCCCATTGACTTATAATGGGAGGTGTGTGTTTATAATGTCTATGGTGTTAATCTGTTCGGAGTTTGAGTTAATGGACCTACTGACCTAACAAATACCAAGCAAGTACCAAGTACTTTTGCAAATACCAAACAAGTACCAAGTACTTATGCAAATACCAAGCAAGTACCAAGTACACCAAGTACTTATGCAAATACCAAGCAAGTACCAAGTACTTTTGTAAGTACCAAGCAAGTACCAAGTACTCGTACTTTTGCAAGATCAGCAAGTTTTTCGCGAATATCAAAGCTTCTAGACGTCCGATTGTCACCGGAAAAAACACCAGTCGATCCCAAATTTTCTCCCTCATACTTTGATTGCCAAAGCGACGCGGAGCAAGCGCAAGATATCTTGTTATTTACTATTTGGCTGCCATCAATTTGGCTGACATCAAAAGTAGGTATCCACGGCCGGCTGACGGCTGGCCGCCCACAATTTGCCACGGCTGTGGGCGGCTGTGGCTGTGGGGCCACGGCTGCGGGGCGGCTATAGGCTGTGGAAAATTGCAGCCGCGCAGAACTCTACTGTGAGCCGATGGTTGAGAGTGTTTTGTATAACTTTCGTCCAATAGAAGCGCAGTTCAATCTTCTCACCTTGGCTCACAATGGAAAGGTCGTAAAGCTCACCTGAGCTTTGGTCACCGATTTAAATACCACGTGTTTTACTGCCTTGAACTGTCAAACCGAGCTATGTAGGTCAATAATTTTTCCTCTTAAAAAAAGGAGCCGGAGTCACCCCCTTTTCTGACGGCTCCGGCTCCGGGCTATATTGTTTCACGGCTCCGGTTCCGGCTCCGGGCAAAATATGCCGGCTCCGGCGGCTCCGGCTCCAGCTCCGGCTCCGTCTCCGCACCCCTGGTGTCCGAGCTAAAAGCTGTATACCTACATCTCAAGTCGGCCGATAGAAGATGCCCGTGTGACTTTATGGTGAGGTGGCGCTGGAAAACTGCAGTGACCAGTCGCCAGGACATGCGGTACCTAACTGCATACATTTTTTTTAATTTCCGAATGGGTGAATGGATATTTGGTAAAAGATTGTTCAAACATGAGCCCATACATATAGCATACATAGGCGGTCAGTTTCGTTTAAGTACATAGTAGGTTTGTATTGACTCGTGTCAGTAGCTCACACTTTAAATTGTTCCGAGTTCCTCGACCACAAAATGGAAAGACATTTGTACGTCTCCTGTTTTTCTTTTTTTTTACTCATATCTCCAGGCCTTGTAGCACTGTATGACTGACGGTTCCACCCCAGAACAGGCGGGCGGCCCGTGGACGGGTCACGGTTCCACCCCAGAACAGGCGGGCGGCCCGTGGACGGGTCACGGTTCCACCCCAGGACAGGCGGGCGGCCCGTGGACGGGTCACGGTTACACCCCAGGACAGGCGGGCGGCCCGTGGTGACAGGAGGACGTCCGTTTCGAGTGGAGATCCTTTCTGATAGGTGGTAACTGGTGACTGGTAGTGACTGGTGGTGGGCCGGGGGCCTTGGCAAAGGTGAGGTTCCGTTCCACCAGGGGGTCCGTCCCACTAGTTCTGGCAAGTGTAGTCCTTTCACAGTGTAGTCCGTTGGGGCAGGTGGGGGGTCCGTCCACACAGGTGGGCGGTCCGTTCACACAGGTGGGCCGTCCGTTGGGGCTGGTGGGGGGGGGGGTGGGTCCGTTCACACAGGTGGGCCGTCCGTTGGGGCTGGTGGGGGGTCCGTTCACACAGGTGGGCCGTCCGTTGGGGCTGGTGGGGGTCCGCTCCGGCAGGCAGGTGGGCGGTCCGTTGGGGCAGGTGGGGGGTCCGCTCCGGCAGGCAGGTGGGAGGTCCGTTCCCGGTCGCTCGGCCCGCCTCCATCTCTGCCGCCCGGTCACGCCACCCGCCATGGCGTGCCGACTGCCGACCAGACGGCCGGCCGCCGAGCGTCGATACCGTCTGCCCCGACCACCCCGACCACCCCCCCTCCGCCGGCGGCCGCGCGGCGCGCCCCCCCCCCCTCCGCCGGCCGACACCAGCAGGCGCGAACTCTTCTCGCTCGCTCGGACTCTCCCGCTCGCTCGGACTCTCTCGTATGACTCGGACCGGACTCTCCCGGCAGACTCGGACTCTTCCGGCTGGCTCGAACTTCCCATACCCTGACCGGACTGCAGCCACACACCGGACTGCAGCCACCGGACTGCAGCCACCGGACTGCAGCCACCGGACTGCAGCGCATACACCGGACTGCAGCCACACACCGGACTGCAGCCACCGGACTGCAGCCACCGGACTGCAGCCACCGGACTGCAGTCACCGGACTGCAGCGCATACATCGAACTGCAGCCACCCACCGGAC